AAATTCGTTTCAGTTACTTTTCCTCATGTAAACCTCATTTGCAATATGTATGATCGTGTGAAAATTACTATGCCTCATTCTGTTAAGTAATCTTTCTTACTGAGCGCATCTTATACAATGAGTTTTATTTGTCAGTCTGGTTTTAGCCGCTTCAGTTGTTTCAAAATATGTTCTTTCTTCAACAGTAGGCAACTTTTCTTAAACAGATTCCTAATAAGCTTCAGATGTTTATTTCATGCTGATAGATTCATATGGTCACATTAAATATATCAACCTATCAACTGAAAATAGACTTAAGTGAAGCGGTCAGACAGACGACGCAGAACCTTCTGCAAGGGTTTTTCTGCCCAAGGTAACACGATTTGCGGCAGAAAGATATTCATCTCAAATAAAAAGACTTCATTGATAGGTGCTGCCAGCAGGATGGATACCGTTAGCTTTCTTCTCACTTTGACTTACCTCACTTACCAGGAGTTGATCATATACTTCAACAACAATCACTTTAAAGTTTCACCATATGCAAGTAACGTTGCTAAAGTGCTGAAAATCAAAAACAATTTTTGATATTATTCACTTTCAGGCTTGATATACGAATTTGTGAAGTAAAGTAATCTGAAAATTCTCTAGAAACCCTAAAATATGTATACAAGGCGAATTCGTGGGCTTGACTGAGTCTAGTTCTAGATGAGACCGATACAAATATTCACTATTTAAAGTTTATATCTTTCACTTTAGATCATTACTTGAAGGCATCTCACATTAGACATATTCTTATTCTTAATTCAGTAGCCCAAGTTGAAATTTCCATATCTTAAGGTCTAAAAGACGCGATAATCATATATAAGAAAACTAAAACATTTTCCATCTATAACACTGCTTTTATTCCCAAAACACTCATATAGTGTCTTCTTGGTACACCCATTGGAAAAATGATGCCATATCTAAGAAATTTGATAGTGATCAAAGTAATCAGAGTATGACGTGACCTATAAACTTGTCTTCCACTGAAAGGATAGATACTGAGAGTTCTGAAGACAGTATATATTAACCCCAGGTCGGGCATATCTGTTTCTGAAAACTGCAGACAGCCTAGAAACTCTGGTGCAAAAAATCTCCATTACTCTTTCAAAATATCAGAGCTGAATACTTCATAAAAGGTCCGCATAGAATTATATTGTACTCAGCAGCTCGTTTACACAAATAAAAGTTAATCATTAATTGGAATTATGATTGAACTCAAAGAAAACTGGTCTATTTATTTCTCAATTTTACTAATTTCTAACCATACGTCCGTACAGATGACAAAGGATTCGTTTACTCAACTATAAGTTTTTTACTGTGATCAGAATTCCCGTACTTATCTAAAATATGATTGAAGTGATACTTAAATTTGGCTTTATATCGGTAAATTGTTTTTAAAAAATGAATTAAGCTTTAATCATTTAGGGATGTTATGGTAAACCTAAACAACAGTCTTTGAAAAGAAGGGAACAATACATAGTTTTTACGTCCCATATTGATAACCCTTTATCAAAGTATCAGTGGGCTTAGCTTCTTTCTCCTACAAGTTAACTTTTGAAAACCATTTATTGGTACGGCTTCTGTAAAAGGAATTGACAATGTTAATTGGGTAACTTGAGTGAAACGAAAATGTGTAGAACACTGAAGTGAACTACTCTGACTAGTAGAGTGATTTCAGTTATCTATGGCAACATTCATATGCTTGTATTTATGAGTTATCAAACAACATTGGTTCAGAGAAAGTTACTCTTTGCAGTGACATCATCCCTAAGCTGTTCAGTAACACACAAATTATATTTACAGCGACAGAAAAGAATTTTTCATAAAAAATGTTTTTGGAGTTCTGTCATTTCGCATCGCTGATTGAATGATATTGAATTACATACTCACTAGTGTCTGTCTGTTGCTATTAGCTAGTATTCAGGCGTGTCAGTTATTGGTATGCACTACTGAGGTTTTGTAAGGCGATTCACGCCGACATATAATTTACACCACCTTAATATGTTTTCAGAACTTCGACCAGTATATGTAGTAATCAATAAGAATAAATGTAGTAAAGAAATTTCGAAGTTCAGAATGAGGAGGGTAATTGTTTGCTGTTCCACGAGCTTTACGGCTTGTTCTTGAACTTTCTGTCATACATATACAGTAACCGAACGTCACAGAAGTTGTTTGGGACATTCTTCAAATGTAGGGACATCTATTTTTAGAAAGACAATAAAGACTATTCATTATTTCTTTAGAAAAATCAGTAAATAAAAATACTCAGTGATCAAAGTAATGCCCATGAAACGAAAAAGTGCATGTGTTTCCTAAATTTGAGTAGGCTGCAAGTGGCATCTCTGTGAGACTCAATGAAACTATTAAATTAAAAGGTGAAATAATTCAATACCATGAAATACAAACATCTGCCTTCTTCATCTTTTGCAGGCGTCACTGATTATCACGTAATAAAATTCATAAGGCTTTATATGTAGATGATTGACTCAAGAAAACTTTCTAATTAAATGCTTTAACGAGTAATCTACATTTGAATATGTTATGGAGGTTGGCGGATGCTTATAATCCCTATCTTTAATCTATAAAGTTGAACATGGTGAAAGTACTTATGGAGACAAAAAGATAAACACACTCGTGTGAAATGAAAATGATGTTTAAGTGCGTTCACTGAGTGAATAGACAAGCAGTGTATCTGGCCAGCACAAAAACAAGAAAAATTGCTCTTAGAACCAGAGTCGGGTTCTGTATACAAACTCCAGTTTAGTGGTAACTGATTACAACTGAAGAAGAAACTGAAATAGGATTGTTCATCTTCCTATCTTTCCAATGTTAAGAGAGTATCCTCTTATAAAATATGTATACATGTGCACATTTCAAGAAATTCCATCATGATATTTATGTTTGGTTCAGTGTAATTCATTTTATTACACAACGAACCTATATGCCTTTAGCAACAACAGTTCATGTTTAGAGCGTTATGCTGCCTCCAGAGCTTTTTGAATGCAATTGTCAAAGCAGTAGTTAAATCATGCCCTTGGCTAATAATCCATTTCCGACTGGATTTAAAATAGAATCGTAAAACTAGTGATGATCATCTGTTTGGATTAAACTGCAATAAAAAAAGAATATAACTGATGAGACGTACTGCAAAACTACATTCATGTGTAATTTTCGATGAGAATGAGCCGTTTTGTTTTATGAAAGGAATTTTTCAAGCTTGGCAACATGCAAGGTGATACACACAAGAATCGAAATATCATTTACATCTTAAAATAATCAAAATATTTATGAACGTTGAAAATTCATCAGAGGTCAGAGTAACCAGCAAAAATTCAGTCATCATTACCTAAAATGTCAGAGTTACTTAGATTAATGCGTACTGCTCAAAATATCAAGATGACCAGAATTGAGTAACATAACAAAACATTTAATGAATGAATTCTTATCAAGGTGAGCTCAACAAAGAAAGCTGTTAATATGTAGGAAATGGATAGAATGAGAGTTAGATGGCGATGGGTTGTTCTGAAACGCTAATGAATAACGCCATTCAAAGAGTAAGGGTTGAAGAAGTTTCCTTTGTATCCAGAGCTCCAGCTTTAGAGACACACGCGTAGTGACTACGGCAAGTTTCTTTTCAGTTTGTAAATAATTTTGAACTGGAAGGTGGTTGTTGAGATTGAAGGACTAGTGTCGACAAGACATTTACTGCACTTCTTGTAGATCTGTGACATGCTTGTTACCATTCAGGATAGCATCCCTGGACACTTTTAGACAGGACCCATAATGAACAATTGATATACCCAGCTCCACAGGAGCAGGTGAATGAAACTAATACTTCGATTTATTGTCTTGCTTGTTGCCATGCCTAACTAACTGCTTTTACACATGAAACAAGTAGTACGTTCTCACCAAAAATATATATATATATATATATATATATATATATATATATATATATATATATATATATAATTCCCTTGTGTTTCTAGTGGAACATAGGGCCGCAGCAGCACGCTTCCATTCCACTCTCTTCTCTGCAGTCTTTTCAACCTGGCACCACAACTGCCCACAAGCTTTCATTTCTTCATCACATGATCTCCTCCATATCACCCCCGCCTTCGACGCCCAACTCAACTCGCCGTCCCCCCTTTGGGTTCCAGTTGACGGCTTGGAATGGCGCGTGATGTCCTCAGTCGGCCTTCTCAGTGTATGCCCAATCCAATCCGTCTCCACTTTCCTATGCATATTTGCTGGGTGATAGGTTTTTGGTTGTTTCGTTGCCAGTCAGAGTGAGTTCTTTGATGCTTATTCCTTCAAGCCATCTGATTTTCGGTATCGAGTGTGGGCAGCTGTTGATGAATGTCTTTAGTTTGTTGGAAATGCATTTCGGGACACACCAAGTTTCTAAACCATATAGCAGCATTGACTTCACATTGGTGTTGAAAATTCGGATGTCGTTCACTCCATATGCTGAGTGCAGTAGATCTCCACACTGATCTCAGATTGGTGAAAGCCTGTCTTGCTGTCGCTCCGATCCTGGATTTGACATCCTCGTCTGTGCGGCTGCCTGTATTTGAAACGATGCTGTTTTGCCAAGGTAGGCGAAAGAGCCTACTTCCTTTAGGCTGCTCTCGTTGATGATGATTGATGCTTGTTGTTGGTGATGGTGGTGGTTGGGTATCTTCATCACTTCTGTCTTCTCCACATTCACTTGAAGTCCCGTCTTCGCTGCCCTGCCTCTTCTGTCAACTTGCTGGTTTCCGCCTGTAGATCTTTGAGTTTGTGCAACACTAGACATGCACAAATACTAATCATCTGCGACGAAATCCAAATCTTCTTCTGTGGTCTTTTCATCGGCCCAGCCAGCGTATGCTCATCTTCTTGCTCCTCACGCTTTGCTGAATAATCCAGTCCACTATAATCAGGAAGATCATGGGTAATATTAGGCAGCAAAAGAGTCTTAATCCTGTCTTCACTTCAAAGGCGTCACTCGTCTTTCCATTGCGGATCACTCGGCATGTAGCATCATATAGCATATAGCTGTTGAATGAGGTTGATAAAGATTTGTGGCACTAAAACCGTCGTGTTGAAGCAGCTGCCTGTCAAATTACTTCCCGGTCAACGCTGCCGAAGGTCTTTTCAAAGTCGATGAAGTTGAAATTGGATGCGCACATGATTCGTTCGTCCTGAAGCCAGCCAACCAGCCTGTTCCGGTCGTAATTTTGAATGCAGAGCAATGTTTAGTCTCTCCAGGATGATGCTGCATAATATTTTGCTTGGGGTGGACTGGGTGGAGCATGATTCCTCGCCAGTTCTTGCAAAGACTTAGGTCACTCTTCTTTGGAAGTTTGACAAGGTAGCCTTTCTGCCAACCAGTGGGCAGGTACCTTTCCTTCCTTCCTTCCAAACCTTCTGCAGTAGTGGTGTGAGCACGTCCACTGGTGTCTCTACGTCTGTTTTCAGTTTCTGTTTTCTGAAATTCCATCTAATCCTGCTGCTTTCCCGGATTTCAGCAGTTATATGGCATTCAGGACTTCGGCTTTTGTCGGAGAGCCTGTGTTTACTGACAGTTTTGCCGTTGCTAGCGGTATTTCCGGACGAGTTGCAGGTGGTGGTGGTGGTTGATTCGAGAGCTTTCTGAAGTGGTCAGTCCACTGTTTCCTTTGTTTCTCCTCTCTGATCGTAACTAAGTTTCCTTCAGCATATTTCATTGGTTTCATCTGTGTTGATCTCTTCCCTCCCAGATAGTAACCTGGTTATCTGATACAATGTTGTCAGGTCTCTGTCTCTCCTACCATTAGTCTGCAGCCTGTTCTGCTTCACTTGCAAGTGTGTTGAAGAAGTGTCTTTTGTCTTTGCGCACACTCTTCTTTACTTTTTTGTCCAGTGTAGTGTTTCATAGGTTATAATCACTTCCTGTTTTCGTTGTTTATCCCTGCACTGCACTGGTTCATCTTCTGCCCCACCATCACCATATTCCTCTCCCTTCTCTATAAACTCACATATGTCCGTCGAAATCCATTGCTTGTCTTGTTTCCTCTTCCTTCTTAATACGGTTATGCAGGTTTTTTTCCACTTAGCTTTCAAAGAGTTCCAGTTTTCTTTGACGCCCGATACTTCAGGGATGTTGCTCAATGTTTCCTATTTTGTCCTGATGACTGGCTGACGTAAAGATGTCCTTTGTAGTTTGATCCTTCAGTCTCCATTCTGGGTGTTGAACTTGAAGCATGGTCTATCACCAACTTCTTTGAATTGAAAGCTTTCAACTTGGTGTGGAATACAGGTTCCTTGTACTGGACGGTAAGAAGTGTGAACCCACATCTGCTACCCTTCTTCATCTTGTGTCCAGTAGGCTGCGTCTCCACTTTCTTCACATGGAAATGAAGTCCATCTGATTTTTAGTGTGTCCTAGTGTCTGATTAGGTCCATGTCGCTTTTCGAATATCCTTGTGTTTGTACACCATAACTAGCCTCCAATCACCTAATCGTTGAATGTGCAGAAATCTACAAAAAGTTCTCCATTCGCGTCCATCATTTCACCGAATGCCTCTCAACCCATGATGAACTTTCTTCCTGTGTTGTCCACTCCCAGTTTGGAATTCATATCACCGCACGCATTAGAATCTTGATGTCGCCAACTGAGGTGGTGTCTTGTGCATTACTGATTGAAGTTGTCAATAGAATTCCTCCTTCTTCTCTTCCTCATCTGCATTACTTGTAGGTGTGTAGTGTAGCACTGGTATTGTATGACTGTGACCTGCCTTCCTTCCTTCCTTCCTCCCTCCCTCCCTCCCTCCCTTCCTTCCTTCCTTCCCTCCTTCATTCCTTCCTTCCTTCCTTTCGAGTTGAATCTTGCAATCATGATCCTGATCGTTGAGGAGATTGCTTCCCACTGCATGAGAGCCTTCACTGCTGTTAGGGACACCATGATAGACACTCGATAACTGGTTGTGCTCGTGGTTGTCGTGTCATGCGTGTGACAATGTTGGAGTTGATTATTGACTCCTCTCCAGTTGACGGTGTGGAGAGTCCAATTCCATTCCATCTGCAGATTCTTCACAGATTCCTAGCCTATCGCTTATATGCTATACCTTTTCAGCTCTTTTGCAATATGGGTAGCCTTGTCAGCCAGCTTCAAACATTGTGTGGACATTGCATGTCCCCATGTTTACTTTTGCTTTGATGGAGAGAAGGAAAGACACATCAGTCAATTGGCTTTGCGAAGGCTTTCACGAACGGGCGTCATTTTGTCTTTCCCATTCCAGGGAGGAATGAGTTCATTTTTATCTTTATATTTTGTCTGTGCTTTGAAGTTTGTTTAGGAATTGGATTGGTTTTTCGGGGTAGGGTTGCTAGCCTTATGTCCAACCTTCCCTCTTTACCTGTGCTTAAGACCGGCTGGTAACTAGTAAACTAGTTAACTAGTCGGGGTTCAACACTTCATTCTGGAAAACAGTAAGTGTAGTTCCGCTTTCATGGTGAAATTCATCATGAAAAAGCTCAGTCGAATTCGTTCATCATGTCTTAAAGAAGACTGACTTCATCAATATGCAGTTAAGTTGTGAATAATTTGTAAAAGAGAAAAGGATTCATTGGAAAACAGTGATAATTCTTCTGTTTGCAGTCTGTGAATCCGGTGATCAATAGGTGCAACATTTCCAAAGCTAAGTTACTTAAATATATTAGACTTTAGTGCACACTACTGTTTCACAAAAAGTATTAGAAATGTAGGTCAGCCGGTGATTTATTCACCCATATTATCATCGTGTGTTCCAGAGAATTTCGTGGTATTGCGTTCAATAGGACTGACTCTGACATATCTTCAGTGCGCATTCACGTATGGACACTGAGAATTACAAATTTTTGTAAATAATACAATTTACCATAAACTGTTTATTTGTTTGTGGAGGTTTGTTTTGTTAATTTAGGCAGATGATTTGCAACCGGTAGGCATAAGGGGTTGAATTCCGTTTCACGTACTGAGTTTTGGACTATCAGGTAGTGCGAATAGCAGACATAAGGATGTAGCTCATTGTCTATTGCATGGATATCCACGTGGTCGATAAAAGAGTTGGAGATTTCTTTTGAATTGTTTACTCAATGAAAGTAGCGGTAGGACTATCAAGTCAAAATACGAGATGAAATAAAAACATTAGGATCAAAAAGGTTTCTTTTGATGAACTGTCTAATAATACAATCAGTTTCCTCAATCACACTCTACATTTGCCTGAGATAAAGTAGTGAGAGTTGTCGCTTCAGTCCAAGATAGCCAAAGACTGACCAAACCTAAAACAGTGTTACTTGCCGATCTTAATCACTTAGGTAAATTTGGGTCTGGTATCACCGGTCTGTAACGCGGCAGTTACTGTCTCCTAAAAACCTAAATCAATACCACTGAAAATCGGAGTTGTTGAAAGAGTTGTTAATAATTTTCTTTGAAAATAGTATGCATGTCACTTTTAATCCTCTGTGCTTTTTCTTTTGTCATTTTCTTCTCTCCAGTTGCTTTTTTAACTGTATTTATGACGTTTACTGAACAGGTTTACAGTTTTAACAAGTTTTAAAAGAGGAAATGTTAGTTAGCTACTATCTAGAGCTTTGTATTTGTCACATGTGACACAAGCTGCTCTACCTGTGTGTTAAAATTCTTATGGTGAAGTAATTGACTGTGTTTATGTGTGACCTACCTACCAGTAAAACATCACACTATTATTATAGTGCCATATACGATTCAGCAACATAGTTAAATATAGTGCACAATACTCAAAGCGACAGTTGCTAGGTTCCACTCTTAGTGCAGCCCACCATTACTCACTAGAGTCCAGGTACATGCCGCTGACGAGTCCCAAATAGTATGGAACGTTCATCCTGAGTTTCCTCGTTATCCACCAAGAAAACTACAAGATAGAGTACAATAGTCTACCTACAAGTAAAAACTATCCCTTCGTTCCCTAATGATCTTTCAAAGGCATATTCAGGTATGAATTTACTGACTAAGTCATTTATTCAATGAAGAAAATCATCCTGAGTAGCTAAGACAATTATATGTCACTAAGGTTTAGACAGCAGTCGATTTCGGTGGAAATTGTATTCACTTAAATATTTCTGTTCATTATGCAAAACTTATTTAACTTTAAATAGAATGATTACATTGGAACTTACAGTAACTCGATAATACGATTTACGCTTAACTTTACTTCTGTTTTCAAATAACTACATTTTTAAGAAATTGTAGTATTACATACCCAAGTTTATCTAACTGTATTTGACCACCCTGAAGAAACGTTTCACAAGCTATTCTGTTCTATTACCTAAAATTTATTCTGAAATTTTGGTGAAGTGATACAGCTCTAAAACTGTTTCCCTCAAAGTGTTCAAAGGTTTTCCTTCAAAAGGCATAGATATTTGTCTCTTTCACGGTCTGACATCATTTGGAGAACCGTTGAGAAACCTGGGAGCACAGCAAATATTTTCCGTCCTAGTATGAGACTCTTCAGCAGGATGCACCCAAGACCCCACCAGGGACCGAGATTAGAACCTTCGGTTGTCGAAGTGGACCTGTTTATCACTTAGCTATGGAGTAGGAGTTCAGCGCTCTGCAGTTTTCTACTTCCCGAAACTTCTAATAATAAGCTGTAATCTGAGGGGTCAAACAAGTCGGGTGTGTGGAGAAATGGTTACTGATAGCTATATCTCAAATAGTTAGAAGTTATAAAGTTTTGACCACTGGAGTCAAACTCAGTGAAAGTAGGGCTAACACGTTTACCGCGAGATCTGAAGGTATGGAGCTTGATCCTTAGCAGCGTCGTGAACATACAGTGCCGAAGAGTCCCGTCCTAGGATGAAAAAGCTGTCCAGTGCCTTCATTTATCAAACGTTTCTCCAAGTGATGTCGATCTATAGTGAATGCTACCTAGAAAGAAGTAAGATCCCTACAAACCTCAAACCAAGCTACATGCTTTTTACATACTAGCACTCATACTGAACTTTCGAATAGTTATTTATTAGCAGCCTATTCACCTGTAACACTGAAAGGAATGGATTTAAATTCCTGGGAAAGTTGATTTTTTCTAAGACTTCAAGTAAGCTTCATTGTTGAATATCGATAAACAGTAACTGATTGACTGACAAAAACAACGTAGAACCTCGCACAGGAGTGCATCAGCTCAAGTCGCCACACTTCACAAAAGTACACAAAGAATAGGTGGTTAGAAAAGTAATGGTATTAAAGCATACAAAGTAGTGTGAGAGAATAAACAATCTTAAGATGAAGGTTAGAGTGAATAGTCAAACTTAAGAAGATGTCAAGCAATGAATATATCTGCACCACTGTGACCAATTATCACCCATATCATAAAGAATCCTCAACCACTGATTCGTATTGTCAAGTGGACCACAACCAGGCAGTCCACATCTCCCTACATGGTTCAAGTCAACAGTCAGACTTCATCAACTGGCGTCATATCTTGGTCTGACCACGTTGAACCCTTTTCCATCCCATTCTAACTTACCCTAGCATAGGACGCCATGGTAGGTCGTGACCTGATATGCTCAGTATATGTCCTAGCCATCTCTGCCTACCAATGTCCACAGCATCGTCAGTCAACTTACCTGTCGACTGACTGGTATACTAAGAATACAAAATCATTATTCAGGGAAAGATCATTAGGTGGTTTATGTTTTTTAAGGTAAACTCGAAGTATGAAAATCAACTAAGATTGTTTAATATGCACATTA